TCAGAATGTTTTTAGCTAGTATCCCATACATCAAATCATATTCGGATCCTTTTCTCGATAAGGTCGCTTGACATTGCAGTTTCTCCGGTGGTGTAGTGCTATCAGAATACTAAGGGGTCTCTTGCACAAAATGTTGCAAAAAACAATAGCAAAAGGCGAATTATGCAAATTTTCGGTATTCAAAACTAAGGACGGCTCAGCTCCCCCTGAGCCCCCATAGCTCTACATCCCTGAGTTTCTCCCAGGTATCTTTCTGGCAAATGGCACATTTTTCATAGCCTATGATAATAGATTTTTTGGTCTCAAAGATCTTTCATAATCGAATATTATGACCTTCTTCGACATCACAATTCATTGACATACACAATGCAGCTGTTCCAGAAAGATAGTAAAATTCCTTACACACATAGTCGTGGCGTCTTTCACGTAGATAGAACCAACGCTCAACAGCTTTTTGAATCACATATAGAAAGCATCTTTTCAATTGAGAATCTTTTCTGTTAGGAAATGATTCTATGATAACACAAAGCATCATGTATCTCTAAATCAAACCTTTTTAAAAAAGGTAATACATTGGCTTCTAATTCATCAGATTCTCGACGTTCTTAAAGCAGTAGAGATATGTTTTTTCTAAACGGTTGACATGGCTAAAATGAAAGGCAAGTCGCTTTGCGAATAAGCGCGCAAGAGTTGAGACAAGATGATACATGGAAGAAAATTTTGTAACAATTTACAGTCGTGAAAAGTTTATAAACGCGATTTTAAACAATATATAGATTCAGTTGTGAATGGTAAATTCATTTAGCTTTGATAATACCAAAGTGCAACGATTTCTTCATTTAGCACATGGAAAAATTGAATGATGTTGTGATGACGCCATAATGACGTCATAATGGCGTCATGAAATGAGTTTTTGAGATGGGTCTGAGTTTTAAAATAATCGTCATGTCAAGTTCTATAAGTGTGCCAAAATACATGCTTTTACTTCAAAAGCCACAATCTCACAATTATTCTACACCATTCTGCTAGACTATTTTACCTCTGTCTTAATCTACCGACCTATATAATAGCGTTGCGAGCTGTCAGGGACTTTCACATTAAGTATGAAGAAACAGAGACAAGGTAAAAGTGCATTTTGAAAATCCTTCAAGCTAAAGCAAAGGTTACGTTTTTTCTCTCTCCCGCCTCCCTTACACTAACATGAAATGCTTCTATTTGATTAAAATAAATCAAAAAATTTTGTCGGAAAATTGTTAATTCTAGCCCCCTCTAGAATTCATCTGGTACGACGCCCCTGGCCCTCAACTATGTCCAACTTATATGGTATTATGAATTATATTTTAAGAAAAAATTAAGAACAATCCAGCCTCAGATTTTTGAAAAAATTCAGAACAATCAGCCTGAACTCAAATTTACTGGTTCCTATAAGAAAAAGAATGCATTTGTACTTCCATAAGGCATAATCGGTTGCATTTCAGATGCAAGCGAGTAAATAGAGGCAAAGAGGATTAGATTAGTGAGAAGAAAACAGAGCATGGTTGATGATTTACACAATAGTTTATTACTTAGTAAAATGAAACTTTGTTTTCTGTAGTCACTGGAGAGAGCAACACAAATTGTCCTGTATTTCCATTTTGAGAATTATATGCGCTACACGCTACTAATACATATTAGAAAGACCTAAAGATGCATGTTACTACCTTCCCACAAGAAAGCGTCTGTTCTTAAGGAAGGCGTTTGATAAAACAAAAAATTGATGTTACAAACTTGTGTAGGCTGCTGCAGGGTTTATAAGCTCAGTTCTGCTGCAGTTCAACCCGATGTTATCTCGTATGTTGCTTGTATTATTGTCAGAAATCAGAGAAATCAAATCAGCACCTGGATTCAGCTTCAACTCCTAGATTTAAAGTCTTCATAGTTCATTGACCTGTTAGTAAACAAAACACAATAAGAGTAGCAAAAAAGATTCGGTCGCATTAAAATTCATTTGAAAAAAGTGCCACGATGCTTACATTTTTCAAAAGAATACCGATGTAAGTACTTTTTTTGGCGTGGTTACCAGAATCTCCGTGGGCTACTGCATCACGGCAGGATGCATATGCCAAACACTGCATCACATGACGACAACTTTATCTTCTCTCTCAAATAAGCTTAGATGCAAATAAATTTAAGGTGAAAAACGTGGGCTTCATGCTAACGCTATGCGCACAAAATAATTTAGTAAGATGTGTTTCAAGCATTCTTCTGTCTTTTTGCCTTCTTTCGGTGAAAACAATTAATTTATGAACGTTTTTGATAAACTTTAGTTTGGAGCAGAAACGACAAAAATGAGCACACGCAGAAACATTGAAACTTGGCCTATCTTAGCTGGCGCTCTGTCTAAGTTTACAAGTTGTCACTGTTCTTAATGCTTCAAATCGATGAGAACTTCTATTATATGAACGTTTTTCGTAAAAAGCCACTTTAGTTTGGAACAGAAACGAAAAAAATGAGCCCAAGCAAAAAAGTTATAAATGTGAAGTTTCAATTTTTCTGCGTGACCTATCTTATCCGGGAAATTAAAGGGAAAATGGACTCA